GGGGGGGGGGGGGTCACAGTCGATACAGCAGGCTGCTACTTCTCAGACACATTGATTGATTTACTGTATCTGTTGAGCTAGACCTGCCTGTCTGTCAGGATTAAGGAATGTGTGTCTTATCAAACCTGTACCCGTGAGAGACGTGTCTCCAACAGTCTCTGGAAGCTGCAACACATGGAAAACTAGGGCATTTAAGTAAGAATAATCAGTATGGAGGTAAAGTCTGCATGAGATTGTTCAAAATCATAGGAACAATTAATACACAGCAGCAACATGAACAGGTATTGGCGGTGTTGGTCTCAATTTGACCTCAAATCTCTTATGAAACCTTGTACATGCACTGTTGGGGAAAATAAACAAAACATGTAACAGCCACCTTCGCAAACAATACACAAACTTCAAATCTCCTGCACCTGATACGAAATGCCTAAGTCCCAGGTGACTCCAGGGAGGAAATCAAGAAAGTCTCTTCTGAGTACAGTTTGTATCTGAAAGAAGACACAGAATGGCCTGCTTATGTGAGAACTCTGCATCTTTTACTTATTTTTGAAGCACATAAGGGCTACAACAAAGGACTGTAAGAGAATGATGGGTGAAGTTTGGGGAGACAATGGGCAACAGGCTAACAAACAGCTACTTGTATTTCCAATGTCAACATATCGTAAACAGATCACAAAATATAAAACCATAAACAGAAACAGACTCCCACTAAACAGTTAAATACATAGAAAATAGTTGGAAAATGTCAGCATGTTGGATAAAAATACCAAAATCGAGTTCAACTTTCCAGAGCTTTGCCAATTAATTTTAATAGTGACCTGCAGAGGCTGTCCCACAGAGCTTAAATACATTCAATACGTTCACCCAAAACTGACTGTAAGATGGTACTAGCCTACATTTAGCTGGAAAAAGAAAACCAATATGATATTCACATTAGATTAAGACAATAAAAATAAAATGTGTATATCACACCCAAATGTAAACCACATGCTGTGCCTTCCTAAAATACAAACCACAAATCATTCATTCACAAATTACAAGCAATAATCCACTGTTGCATTGATTTCTTTGAATTATACATAATGGTTTTTATTATGTCTTTCCTCATGTTTACGTGTTCATTTCATCTCTTAAAGAATGTGCATTATATTTTGTTTTGGTGTATCAGTGTATTGCCTTGTTGGCTTTACATTGCGAAGTAAACAGCACTATTGCAAAGTGTATTCCTCAATAAAGTATATCTTATCTTACATTACCAGCTTACATTGATCGAATACCTAATGCATGTATCAGATAAATACATGACTTACACACTATCCCTCAATTCCTCTATTCCCTAAATAGTAAAACAAAGCTAATATCTCAGAGGATAATAGCCTATGATATATNAACTGTTTTAAACTGTAAAATATACACGTTGTTCTGTAAAGTTGTTTACAGTTTACCATATTTTTTACATCATTATTCTGGCAACAAAGCTGCCAGGTTTTTACCGTAAAAACAACGGTTTTTTTTTTACAGTATGTATCAGATAAATACATGACTTACACACTATCCCTCAATTCCTCTATTCCCTAAATAGTAAAACAAAGCTAATATCTCAGAGGATAATAGCCTATGATATATCCAAGGTAACAAACCAGACCATAGCATGCAAACAGTAAACAGGTGGCTTGACCCAATGGTGGGTCTGTATGTACTCATTAATAACCACTGACAAGGTCAGCACATTAACTGTAAAGAGACACAAACTACAGCCAGAACAATATGAACCGCACAATTAGGCAATATATCCTCAACAACAGCATTAACATCCACCCAGTTTATAGACGGTGCCACGGCGGGCTGCTTTGCCCGGCTGGCATGTAGGCTACTGCACGTTTCCTCCAGGGAGTGCTGTTTGTCCAGAAACACAAATTAAAAGAAAAGTATTTTAGAAAGAAAAATAAAAGGACATTCCATGTGATCGATAATATTCTACAAAAAGGAATAGCTTAAATAATATGGCTTACTAAACTCAGCTTTCATGGCATCATGGCAACATTTATAAAATTACTGTTTTACAACTGTTTCTTTTCACAAATGTGTGTGTATGTATGTGTACAACATATTTATCATTTGTACAACATTTCTTGTTTTCAAAGAAACATTGATACAATTCAGTCAAGGATAGAAAGTAAAATTGGATGGTAATTTACACGTTTTTAACGTAAATTCATTACCACATGTTTGATTGCTCTGTGATGGAAACCTCACAATATGGTAATTCTGATCTCCATTTTTAGGAAAGGAAGACACTTTTAACTGTTCATATACACATAGACATATCATTATTATAATATTTAGGATTTTGGTTCATTTGGTTGATGGAGAACCCATTTGTTTGGTTGTTATGTATACACAGTATACAAGGAAAAAAAATCAAATGTATCTTTTTAACCTGCACTGACGAGCAAATGTTTTGTTTTTGTTTTTGTGTGTAGGTCAGAGCATTTTCTTGCTGGTTCTATAGGCTACTCTACAGAAAGACTTCACTTTATCATGCATGTGTGGAATATTTTTACATGCATAATTGATGGAATTATATACTGCAAGCTTGTGAGTGTTAACAGCTGTTCCATAACCTATAAATGAACCTTACAGACACCTTCTGGGTTTATTTCTTCGACTTAGACCTTTTTTTGCATTGTGAAAATGAGTGTTGAATTTATTGTGGTTCTTTTCAGGAACAGAGCTCTCTGAATCCTAACAACTCTTTTGTGAAACCAAAGACAAACGTACTCAGAAGTGCAGATGAGTGGTTGACAGCTCACAGATCCTGTGAGACCTGCAGCAGATGTTGGTAGAGCGGGGTCTTCTTCCAAAGCTGCGGGTGGGCATGGGCACTCACCATGTAATGCCATAGGTAGTGTAGGCTGAAATTTTCCTCAGCTTAAGTCCCCACACACGCAACAAAAAAGCAACTGGCCACCTTTTGAAATGTCTTTGATGCAGAAACAGCAATAACAATCTTTGTCAATGCTATTTAGACTTAGACACCTTTAGGTGAAATGTGTCAGCAACACAGCCAATTTAAACGTATTCAAATGGGTTAAGTGAATTGCTCCAGAAAATTCTGAGAAATTGAGGTATAAAAATCACAGACATTCAGGTGCTTCTGGGATATGTTTTTTTGGATAAGAAAAGGGTTTTGCAGTTATTGGGGATACAAATATTTGCTAAAGACCCATGTACTCTGCAATAACAGCACGTTTACATGTTAAATGCCTGAACAAATGTCAAAGAGATGTCTTATTGGTCAATCTTGGTTGCACTTTTAGTCAGATTATCAATTGTGAAGCCTGTCAGATGTGATAATCCCATGTACTAATAGCAGCAGTCACATTGGGACACTTTAGTCTGAACTCAAAATCGGCCAATAACAGGTTTCAGCAATTTCACAGCGATTCTCTTTCGTGCCGAAATTGCAGTGCAAAGAAGCGTTCATTTAGAATTTGTTACAAAATGGAATTCGATTTCAGACCTCAACCCAACCCTGGTTAAGATTAACATAACGTTTCAGATAGAGTAATACTTCAGCTGTTAGTAGATCCTGACAAACAGAGGGTCAAACTAAATAATTGTATCTTTTGGAAAACCAGAAATCACAAATTCCCCACATACGATACGGCATACAACTGAAAACAGTGCTCACTTGTCTGAAGTCCACAGCCTATCTCAGGTCTTTACAAGAGTGTAATTGCTATGTGACACATTGGAAGACAGCTCAACAATGCAATCTCAAATGAGATTATCTGAATGCAAAATAAAGGGCCATTGTCAGAGAAGAAAGATGTCTTTCCTGAAAATAATACTGCCTCTCTTTCTGCATTCATGTCACATTTCAAACATCTCTCTGCTGTGACTTCACAAGTTGCCCTGAACACTGCAACAAGTCTTCAGGGGCAGGAGAGAAGGATGTCACTGACATTACAAAGTGCAAAGCTTGACTGCTAATAAGACTCTTTTGTTCTACCAGAGGCAAATATAACAACTCATTTCTAGTACTTAAAAACATGGCACTGTTTCTGATTAAGACTATATGTACTTGTTTTGTGTAACTGAATGGACCGACAATAATTCTCCATTTACATATTTTTGTTTACCAAGTACTGTGTAATTGTACGGCATTGTTTTGGTTTACATTGTACAGTCTGTTAGATTGCCCTTCCGAAACATTTCTAATAATCTCTGTTCTTATTAATGGGATTGTTTTAATGCTGCTCGAAGCCTCATCCCACAGCAGGAAGTAGACATCTCCACTGACCACTTAATCAGGTGTTAATTAACTGACACAACCTCAGAAACCATTTCTGATTACTTTTCTTTTCCCATCCATTGCCCATTATGTCTAGCAGAGATTTGCTCAGAAATCCATTTGCAAGATGGAACAATATTCAGTCAATATCTCAAGTGATAACTAAACAAGGAAATGTTTGTGTCTGGAAATCAATTCCATTTTAAAATGTGAGCGCCACTTATTAAACTGCCATCCAATTTGCTGTGATGAGTGTAAACATTTAACTAGACAAGCACATAAACTCAAGCCCTGCGTCCAAATGCACAACAATAATGTTTGTGAGTATGAAAAGTGGTTCTTATGCAGCAAAGTGTGGATGATGAGATATGCATACATTCATGAACAGGTGTAGTGTGTTCCCCAAAAAAACTTGAAAGGGTCCTTCGGCACAAAGTGACTGAAAATCACATTACATTTTCAAATATATGAAATAGTCACTCTTAGGGCTCTGTTACTACGACCTTGTATCCACAATCACTGGAACACTTAAAATAAAGGATATCTAAAAACAGAACTGTCCTAATTTAAATGTTGAATTAATGAAAATACATATAAAATACAAAGACACATTTTAACCAAACTCGCACAGAACAGTCCTTCAGTTCTCACAACACCATTGTAGAAAGATCAGCTTGACTAAGGCCAGTTTGCTATAGAAAATACTGTAGTTTAAATTATCATTTGATATATAAATAAAACAAGACTAAGAGAGGGCAACCATTCAAGTGGATCCAAGAGGCTGTCACATAAGTTAGCAGCTAACATCAAACATGATAACAATGACAATCTTAAAATGCTATGTTTAGCAAGTATAATGTTCACATGAAAACGCCTCTAGTTGGACTCCTTTGTTTGATCCTGTAACATTTTGACATCACTACGTAACACCCACGCTTCTATTGGCTAGACCTCCAACACATTGTACGTGATAGGCTAGGGGTGGAACATCCTTATGCGGTTTACCAATCACAACAGAGCCGACCAGCTAACCAATCAGAGCAGACTGGGCTCTGGTTTCAGACAGAGGGTGAAAAGAGGTGCTGCAGCTCATGAACATTAAAGCATGAAAACATGTCACAGCAGAGGCATGAAACACCTTTATTATGAACCTTAAAATGAGCATAACCTATTATGCCCTTTTATATATTGTTGT